GACTGTCTTAGGTACTGTGCAGCCTTTTGCTAAAAAAAACTTTAATTAAGCGAGTTTGTTTTTCTATTCACATGCTAATCTGTAAAGTTAATTTTGCTCGAAGCATTTGTACAGTTTGCAGCATTACGTTTGCTTTTCCTTAATTTCTTTGTTAGTTTTAAAGACACTGTTTTAAGCAACACTCTTCGGACGTGAAATGGACAATTAAGGAGCCTCTTTTTTGCGTTAAGATGTGTCGTTATTCTGCTGCTACTGTAAGATTGAATGTTCTGCTTTTTGCCTAGACTATTATAAATTTAGCAATATTTTTATTTCTAAATCCTAACAAAGGTTGGCGTTTTTGTACAAAGCATGTAAAATGTAGCCCAGTTTGCCTTATATTTATTGTATGGTAATTTGTTTTCCCCTACATTGTATTTTTATGGTGTGGTAAACCTGCCTCGTCGATATCCAAAATTGGTTTGTGTTCAAAGTGGATTTTTTTTTTTAACAAAAATAATGATATTAATTTACCAGCTGTGGCTGATATTGTAGAATAGAATTTGGTATGGGAAGCACCATCTTGGAATTAACTATTTTTTACTAGAAATTATTGTAATTTGTTTTTAGCAAGATGGGTAAATGTTGTGAGCGTATACGTTATGTGATATTGTTGCAAAATGCAATGCACAGGAAGACACTGGTCAATGAACTATGCCCATTTTTATTTCAATTTTCAAAATCGAGCAAAGAGGGAAGTTTTCTTTGCTGTATCTTTGAACAGATTGGAAATCACCAGTTTGTGTACCGATCGATTTGTTTGCTTTGGTGAGTTGACGGTGTATTTTTTAATGCCTGTGTAGTTTTGTTTTCAGATTGGACAGACACGTTACAGAGATTTTTTAAAAAGTTAGAAAGGGAACACTTTTGTTTCCAACCACACCAAACTACCAAATTCATCAGCTGCTGATCAGTTATGCGAACTCATCGTTTCGAAAAAGGTCCCCGCTTTCAACAACGTATTGTCAATGGATGTGAGAGAACCAGGTCAATGTTGCTAAAAACCTGCAACCTGTAAAAAAAACCCTGAGTGTTGTGTTTTGTTGACTACAAATTGTACAAGTTATCAGGAATGCACAGCTGCACAAATTGGAGTGTCGTGGCCGAGCGGTTAAGAGCACCGGACTCGAGCTCCGGTGCTTCTGATCAGCAGAGTGTGGGTTCGAGTCCCGGTCTGGACAATTGTGTCCTTAAGCAAGACACTTAACCATTATTGTCTCGTCCTTTGGATGGGACGTAAAGCCGTAGGTCCCTTGCGTTGTATAATGCACGTATAATAACCCAGTAACACTTAGGAGAAGGGTTCGCCCCGGTGTTTCTGACTTTCAAGGAAGGAAGAGCTTAACACACTTTTTCCTTTCGGTTTGTCAGTATTTTGCAACTTTTGATCCGTTTCTTTGTTCGCATGATTTTCTGTATTCACTCTTTAGTGACCGTTAATGGGGTTTAAAAGTTGTGGTATTAATTACTTTTTTTGCGGTTAAATGAGGCTTGTATAATTTTGAACGAATTCGACGTACTGCCGTTTATCTCCGTACATTGGACTGCCAGTAAACTGCGGTGCTCGACTATGTGGGCAAAAGAAACAAAATAACTAAATTAATAATTCTTCTACTTAAAAGTTGGGCACTCGTCATGCCCGCCATTCATTTTATGCTGTGTTGTATAAATGTACATTTCTGCTTAATTAAGAAACGTTTACATGCGCCTCTCCTAAAATACATGGAATCGGAAAATGGTAATTATATGTATGCTTTGTGCGCATGTGCAAACGCTGTTCCATCAGGTGACGTCATCCCGATGGCAGATTGTGGAGAGTTTTCTTTGCTTTTGGTTGAAGCGGAACTTCCTTGTTTTGAAAGCCAGTTATTGAAACCACAAACATTATTGACTTTTTTCCTTCTCTGATATTAAGTTTATGGAGAGGGGAAATGTTTTATATTTCCAACCAAATGTAAACTGACAAAACTTGCTTGTCGTCTTTTACGCGTATAAGCAAGTTTTTCGTGAAATGCATTTTTGATACTAGCCATAGATCTAACTTTTAATCACCTTGTACATATTTAAGTAGGTAAATAAAAGGACAATTTTGCGAATTAGATAATAATTATTGCATGTAGAAACAAACGGAGACAGTGCGTTGATGGGTTATAGCAGACAGCCGCGTGCCAATTTTTATTTTGTGATCGCATTTGTTATTAGACCATCGTGTATTCTCGTGTAAGAATTTTACAAAATGAATGTATCACAGAGCCTTGTATTTTGCATGTATTAAAGGAAAACAAGTGTCAAGTAATTGGGTTTTTTTCCGAGTCTGATGTTGTTCTTTGGTGTCTCCAGATTGTTTTGTCTCCTATGAATGTTATTTTTAAAAGTTTAATTCAATGAGTATAATTTACATTAGCAAAAAAATAACGATCGCCCGCCTGAATGTTTTCATTTATGTTTTGTGATAAAAGAATATTTTAAATTTGGCCCGGAAATCAAGCAGATTTTGAATCATCCTCGTTTTGCAGAGATCCTTCGCAACCCTTTTAAAAAAAATATCAAACATTGCAACATTCTAGAATTCCATTTACAGTTTGTGCTTCCAAGGGTAAGTATTTTTTTTGGCTGACGGCATCAATACTGGTTTTGTTGACATACCAAGTTTTATTTTTTAAAGTGTCGCACTTTCTTCAGTTCTTTGTGAAAATAACAGATTTTTTTGTTCAGTACTTCCCTCTTCGTCCCCTTAAAGCACTTTGAACTTTTAAAAGGAAATGTATTAAAGACGGAAATATAGGAAATATCCTGCATATAGAATTTCAATTGGTCTTGTGGATCATGACAATAACCCTGTGATGACATTCATAATAGGCCGGCGGTTCGCTTGGCTGCAACGGCACACGGAAGTTGACTGCAAGATTCACAGCCAAGTTGCAGACTGAGTAAGTCGATTTCTACATCAGTTTCCATCCTTTCCCCAGACATACATGTAGATGAATACGTTTCTTTGAGGACATAAAATTAACTACCTTTGCTATTCTCTTAACAACTCCAAAAGAAGTTACTGGTTTTCTAAACCTTTTGCAATCTGATTGAACCTAAGTAAATAAATTTTGCTCCTTATTTCAAGAGATTATACTTGTAAAATCAACGTCATCATCTTCAGTCCTCCTCTGCTTCCTGTAGATCGACACAACCATGCTGAAGAAAAGGTATCTTTGCCTTGAGATCATTTTGCTCTGCGTATTGGCAAGTTCAACCTACGGTAAGTAGTTTTTAATTAGATGTAGGTCATACCAAGATTTCGGAGTAAAAAGTGTGTTAGTTTTGATTTGTTAGCTTGTATTTTCCTTGGTTGTAGGTATAGCGACTTGTGTTGTGAATGGCCCAAGCCCATGGGCGCCGTCAGGATGTTTTCCAGAGGGGGGAAAAGCACATTATGTCCCAAAATCCTTGTACTTTTTCTGGCATATTCTCAATATTATCATTTTTTCGAGGGTGTGCGGGGGGGGGGGGCATTTACCCACCCCACCCTGGCCCTGCGTACGTCCATGCTGTTAAATGTGCATTAACCCTAAAGGGGCCGGGTTATTTTGACCATCTCTCAGCCGGGGGGGGGGGGGCTTTAGGGTTAAATTAACAGCAATATGACTTCACACGCTTTTTTTTTTAACCCCGATGATGTTCTCTCCTCTTTGGTAGGTCCTTTGACAGTGTTTCAGGGTGGGATATTTTTTTTCCATTATGGAACACTGCAGCTGTTGATATAAAAAAATGTACATGTACTTATGAACATTGTCGATGGTGTGAAATTAAATATTAAAACAATAGCCATCGGAAATGGTTTCGAACGGCTTATTCTGCAAGACATCAGAAGCGGAAGGTGTTTTCAAAATTCATTAATCATTTAGATAAAGAAGTTTTTAAAAGGTTACAAGTATTACTTTTTTTGGAACATTTTCAATTAAAATCGAACATAATTTTTTTGTCATTGGGAATACATGTACAATGATGAGTGGAGTCACTATAGGGTCACTACCGGGCGAGTCAAAAAGAAAGTGACATGGATTAATTATGTTTGTTTCTAACAAAGCCATCAAATTGTATGCACCAAAGACGTTTGTCTTAAAAGAGCATGTCTCTTCCTCTCACTAAGAAAAAAAATACTGAAATTGATTCATGCTATCAAAAGCTATGCATGTTTTACTGAAGAACCTATTTATAGATGTCCATGGAACGCCATTGGAAGCTATTGAGCTGAGTGAGATTTACAGATTACTCACAGGCACTCAAAAACAAATGAGATTTCAATCATTTGAGTCAGGACTTAATCATTATTGTTACTGACTGTCAGATTTTGTGTTTTGAATATGAGGAACAAGTCAACTCTTTTTTTCCCCTGAAATTTTGATGGTGATTTTTGTCAGTTTTCCTTTGCAATTTTTCGGTCATTTATGGAGGTGGTGAAACGTCCATGTATCATTGTATTTAATGGGTATTCATCCGTTCGTATAGAACGGTATAACAGCATTGTGGACAGCTGAATTTTGTGATTTTTTTTTTTAATCAAAATAGACATAACTTGTGATTAGAGTATGCAAACTACGTGACTTTCACAGTTACTAGTCAATAACATGTACTTTATCCATATCATTTTTTTATGACTTGGAGCGAGCTATATATTTTTAAAAACTTGGTTTTTTTTTCCTAATTCGGTCACTTTCTTTTGGACTCATCAAACCCAGCACCATAATATCAGCGTCATACTGTTCCGTTACAGTATCAATGTTTCTGATACTGCATAAATTATTAAATACACGTGTTACTTGCATTTTGACTTGGAATAAAACCAGCCTTGTTTCCTGGTTTGTAAATTATCTTATTTGCGTAAGAAAAAGAGCTTAAGAAAAACACGGAAACACATCCAGTTTACTGTCACTGACTTAATATAGAAAAAAAAAAAACAGTCAACACGGAAGTTGACTGCAAGATTCACAGCCAAGTTGCAGACTGAGTAAGTCGATTTCTACATCAGTTTCCATCCTTTCCCCAGACATACATGTAGATGAATACGTTTCTTTGAGGACATAAAATTAACTACTTTTGCTATTCTCTTAACAACTCCAAAAGAAGTTACTGGTTTTTCAAACCTTTTGCAATCTGATTGAACCTAAGTAAATAAATTTTGCTCCTTATTTCAAGAGATTATACTTGTAAAATCAACGTCATCATCTTCAGTCCTCCTCTGCTTCCTGTAGATCGACACAACCATGCTGAAGAAAAGGTATCTTTGCCTTGAGATCATTTTGCTCTGCGTATTGGCAAGTTCAACCTACGGTAAGTAGTTTTTAATTAGATGTAGGTCATACCAAGATTTCGGAGTAAAAAGTGTGTTAGTTTTGATTTGTTAGCTTGTATTTTCCTTGGTTGTAGGTATAGCGACTTGTGTTGTGAATGGCCCAAGCCCATGGGCGCCGTCAGGATGTTTTCCAGAGGGGGGAAAAGCACATTATGTCCCAAAATCCTTGTACTTTTTCTGGCATATTCTCAATATTATCATTTTTTCGAGGGTGTGCGGGGGGGGGGGGCATTTACCCACCCCACCCTGGCCCTGCGTACGTCCATGCTGTTAAATGTGCATTAACCCTAAAGGGGCCGGGTTATTTTGACCATCTCTCAGCCGAGGGGGGGGGGGGGCTTTAGGGTTAAATTAACAGCAATATGACTTCACACGCTTTTTTTTTTAACCCCGATGATGTTCTCTCCTCTTTGGTAGGTCATAATGACAGTGTTTCAGGGTGGGATTTTTTTTCCATTATGGAACACTGCAGCTGTTGATATAAAAACATGTACATGTACTTATGAACATTGTCGATGGTGTGAAATTAAATATTAAAACAATAGCCATCGGAAATGGTTTCGAACGGCTTATTCTGCAAGACATCAGAAGCGGAAGGTGTTTTCAAAATTCATTAATCATTTAGATAAAGAAGTTTTTAAAAGGTTACAAGTATTACTTTTTTGGAACATTTTCAATTAAAATCGAACATAATTTTGTTGTCATTGGGAATACATGTACAATGATGAGTGGAGTCACTATAGAGTCACTACCGGGCGAGTCAAAAAGAAAGTGACATGGATTAATTATGTTTGTTTCTAACAAAGCCATCAAATTGTATGCACCAAAGACGTTTGTCTTAAAATAGCATGTCTCTTCCTCTCACTAAAAAAAAAATACTGAAATTGATTCATGCTATCAAAAGCTATGCATGTTTTACTGAAGAACCTATTTATAGATGTCCATGGAACGCCATTGGAAGCTATTGAGCTGAGTGAGATTTACAGATTACTCACAGGCACTCAAAAACAAATGAGATTTCAATCATTTGAGTCAGGACTTAATCATTATTGTTACTGACTGTCAGATTTTGTGTTTTGAATATGAGGAATAAGTCAACTCTTTTTTTCCCCTGAAATTTTGATGGTGATTTTTGTCAGTTTTCCTTTGCAATTTTTCGGTCATTTATGGAGGTGGTGAAACGTCCATGTATCAATGTATTTAATGGGTATTCATCCGTTCGTATAGAACGGTATAACAGCATTGTGGACAGCTGAATTTTGTGATTTTTTTGTATGCAAACTACGTGACTTTCACAGTTACTAGTCAATAACATGTACTTTATCCCTATCATATTTTTATGACTGGGAGCGAGCCACATACTTTTAAAACCTGTTTTTTTCCCTTCTAATTTGGTCACTTTCTTTTGGACTCATCAAACTCAGCACCATATATCAGCGTCATTTGAAGTGTTCCGTTACAGTATCAATGTTTCTGATACTGCATAAATACACGTGTTACTTGCATTTCGACTTGGAATAAAACCAGCCTTGTTTCCTGGTTTGTAAATTATCGTATTTTCGTAAGAAAAAATAGCTTAAGATAAACGCGGAAACACATCCAGTTTACTGTCACTGACTTAATATAGAAAAAAAAACAATTCCGATCCGATTGGGTCACGTGATGTTCATGGATGTTTAACATGACATGTTCATTGTTGTGTTCGTGAAAATTGGTACCCATATTTCAGCAAGGAAATGGGTAAATTAGTTTTTATGTAAGATAAAAATCGAGATGTGAAATAGAGGTTGGACATCTTATAGACATCTGCCATGTAATATTTTAATTAAAAATATTTGTCATGACGACGAAGTCGATGGGTGAATTGAGTGGAGACTATTTCAATGGGAAAGTTTCTTTGTTGCCTCGTCATTTCGGTGCGTGTATAGTCTCTGCTCAATTCGCCTCAAACATTTCGTCGCTTGATCGAATCACGCACGATAGCCTAGCCAAAAAAGGTCAGAGTCGGTCTGTCACCAATGACATGTTTCTTTTCTTTCTTGTCATGATTATCCTCTAGCTCAAATTCCCGATGGTATACATCTGATTACATTGACCGAGGAGGCCCCCGAGTGGTCGTTCCAGTCCCCAAATTTCACCCATGGCTTCTACCCAGACGACACTCTCAGTGTCTGGCTGATCCGAGTCGACAGTGGATCCAGGGTGACTTTCGACTTCGATGTGATGGAGGTCGCGAGCAATGACCTACTGCAAATTGGCAACGGGTTTGATGCGTCGGACGTGGCCTTCATCACGGGTGAAAACATCATTGCCACTTTCACCGGGAATTTGACGGGTGTTGGAGGGGCTCGAGTCGCGTCTAACGGTCACGAGGCCTCGATGAGATTTCAGAGTTTTCACGTCTCGTCCTGCCGAGGTTTTTCGGTGACAGTGAGGCAGGAACTACCGTCAGCATTGGTTAAGGAACGCGGTAGGTATTTAATAAAGTCAAGCCGTTTAGTCTCAACTCAGTATATATAGCCCTCTTACTCCTGCAGAGGCATAGTTATTATTATGAGTCATAAATACCTAAGACAGTACACTGTTCCATTGCTACTGGTCGAGAACCCGTCACTTGGCCAGTCTTAAACGGTTCACAGTGATAAAACACCTGCTGGCTGGTCTGAAACATATTTCCAGTGCCACATGAAATTTTGACTCTTTAAGACATCCAGTGCCTTTTACCCTTTTATTGGTTGAATGAACTTTGACAATCCTAGGTCAGACATGCGCAATACTACAAATGATTTTGAAATAAATTTAAAAAAAGAAATTAATAACAATCTCAACAAAGCAATACCTTACTACGCTATACGTGACTTTTTACAGTGAAAAAATGCCTTCATTGTGCATTGTGGTACAGGATTTTGCAGAAGAGATGATTTCCGGTGTGTGAATGACGTTGAGGGCGTAACTTGTTTGGGTAATGGTTCACGATGTGATGGAATTACGCACTGTAAGGACTCATCGGACGGGGCAAATTGTGAGTAATCAAGCAATCCTACGCCATATTTACATATTTGCAGAGTCACAATTTTAGGTGATGACGTCTAAATAACCGCACGAAGCTATTGATCTGTAGATTCCGATGTAACTGCGTACCTTTGCCTCATCCTTGATTTTAGGGACAAGACGGTTCTTCAAAACCATCGATTGTGAAGCTTGCAATTTATCGTTATGAAATATTGTAAATAAACTAACCATATTTACTTGATATTATGGCATACTTTTCACCAACATTTAACATCTGTGCTACATATTGATGCAGGTTCTTCGCAATTCGACCGATTTGATGAGTCTGCGTGCATGCTATGCCCTGGCAATCAACCATACAACTATGGTAATAACTTTTTCTTTTGCGAAAGAAAGCAGACTTTCACAATTTTACTGGTATATACGGTGCTGTTGCGGTGATATATAAATAATATTGCTTAGCCACTTTATGCGCTTACCCAAACCAGCTTAGAACCATCTCGACCGATATTGCATGACGTTTTGGTAAGCAAAATGTTGTGCTCATACATCACTTTCATATGAAACTTGGCCTGTGAACAATAAGTAGGAATTCGACACGGAATCAAACTGTTAATGTTTGATAGAAACGTTGAAGTAGGGTTTAACGCTGATCGATCTTTCCTGTTCTTGTGTCCATCAGGAACCTGGTCCTGTCCTGGACCTCGTAGACGAAGGCGCTGTACCAATCCTAACCTAGTGTGTGGGTGCGGCGTCAGGGGTGACGACCTGGGAGTATTATGCATCGTCTGGATACCTATTGTGCTGTCAACACTGGAGGATACTACACACACCCTGTACCTAATACAAAACTCCCCCGAATAAATGCATTCACTCACAATTAATATACAAGCATTACATTTACTTTGTGGACATCTAAACAAAAGAGGTCCACAAACCTGGTACAGCCCTCATGGCGGGGGGGGGGGGGGGGGGAGGGGTGGTACCTTGCATCACCCTCATAATACGATACGTTACCCCACAGTTACATAACCAAATAGAACTAAATTACATCTTATCTTTTCCTACGTTTGTATAGGTTTCTCGGTGGGGTAGACGTCAACTCTCTTCAGAACGGGACCTTCAAGATGTACCCTAACCTTAAACAGTTGAAGATTTTGTAAGTATGTTTTTGTTTAATTCGGCAGACAATTTTAATGGTTCCCCATACAAAAGAATGATGGATTATGTGCTACGCGTCCAGAGATTACGCTGGCATTGTTCATTGCTCACATAAATGCTTTATATATTGTTTAAATCATTCATTTTAAAATTTAAATGCAAGGTGCCATGACAATCACTAACTTATAAAGCAATAGAATTAATCAATCCAATTTTCCCTGTTTCACTTTTAGGGTTATTCAGGCGACAAATGATGAAGAATCAGTTTTAAAGAATTACGCTTTTGATGGGTTCGACAGTTTGTCCACGCTGTAAGTATTGACTAAACTTTTAGTCAGCGCTGTTAGTCATTGACTTAAATGTCACATGCAGGTTCTGAATAATAAAAAGGTAAACTCTAAAGACTGCATGTGTTTAGCAATTGAACACAATCTTGCTGTCACTTTACAAACATGTTTAGAAGCTAAATATCACTTTTACAATTCCTTAACATCAATGTTCAATCGCTAACCACTATCACCATCAATACTCTAAACGTGTTCAGTATTTTTACAAACTGATACTTTAGTGATATAAAAAAATATTTAGAAAAGTGTTTAATTGCTAACACAGTTTTTGCAGTGTAGTTACTTTATTGGGAATTAACTGAATGTCTCCTGATTAATCCCTGGCACTGTTCTTGTCTTGATTGTTTGTTGTTTGCGTTGTTGATGATGATGTTTTGTTGTTGTTGTTGTTGTTTTTTTGCACACAAATTTAATTATAATGTTCTGAGGGTATGGTGATGTTTTCGCACCTTATTTTTACTTTCAGTGTTATATTTGATATAAACTTGAGAAAAATCGAAGCCAAAGCCTTCGCTGGACTCGACAGTTTGCACACGCTGTAAGTATTTTCAAATAACATTCGCTATGTTTCAAACGTTTTGTCTTGTTTGTTATTTGAAATGCTTGTTTCGATGCATGATATTGACAAAGTGCTATCAATGGTTCGTTTCTTTCAAATATTCCTTTCATTTTCAGATCAATTTTGGAAAAGGACTCTAGTCCAAGGCTGCCGATAATAGAAGACGGTGCTTTTGACGTCATCGGTGACAAATTATCTTTTCTGTGAGTGTACTAATTCTCGACTGTGATTCAGTACAAATCCAGAAGTGATAATTCAAGTTGAAGGCTCATCCCTCCTCGACCCTTCGTTTTCAATTTCAAACTCAGTTGTTCGTGTTAAAAGTTTGAAGTATTATTTTCTCAAAATTGAAAGATCTCATTCGGATTGTTATCTATCCCCGGTAACAAGAAAGGATAATTCCAGGCATTATAAAGTCCCGATTGACTAATAGTTTTGCGTCAGAGTGACGTAAAATGAGTTTGAATTTTCCCTTCGCTGTGCATTGACATAAGCACTGCATGCATTCTAAATGTGTGCGTGTCATAAAATAAACATTAGAAGGTAAGGTACTCCGGCGAGATTCGAACCCACGACCTCCTGCTAACTATAGTGAAGAGTCTGCTCAGAAATTCGCACTATTTTAGTTTAGTAAAGTTCTCTGTATTTTGTATCTATGTTAGGTATGCAAATGACTATCGTCTGTGTTGTTTCTTCGGGCCAGAACTACAAGAAAAGTGCAGGGATTGGTTTGAGATTCCCGAACTCTTTGTCTGTAGTCAGCTGGTACCCAACTACGTCTTGAAGGCCTTCATGTGGATCTTGGGCATCAGCGCAGTCGTTGGCAATCTCTTCGTCATGGTTTGGCGGTATCGAGAGAAGACAGGGAACCGTGCTGGTCTGATAATTAATTCCTTCTTAGTTGTCAATTTGGCTGGTGCTGATGCTCTGATGGGCTTGTACATGTTGATCATAGCTGGGGCTGATGTGCACTACGGGGCCCGTTATTTCGAGGTGTCTGACGAGTGGCGAACCAGCGCCGCGTGTAAAGCAGCAGGGTTCATTTCCATCATGGCCAACGAAGCGTCTGTGTTTCTCTTAGTTTTCATCAGCGTCGCGAGATTCATGTTTGTTGTCTTCCCTTTTTTCACCAATCGCCGTCTGAGTTTTAAGGTTGCTAAGATTGTTGTTGGCGTGGTCTGGCTCCTGACGGTCATTCTTGCCGTGGTCTCCACAGTTCTGGCTTCGGATGAAGCGTCTGAGGCTTACGGTCTCTCAGATGTTTGCATTGGTCTGCCACTGACGACCAGAGTTACAGGTCTTGAGATAAAGGAACAAGTCATTAATGTTGGAGGATTCGGTGAAGTGACCTACGCCAGACCTGTACCGATCAGCCAGTCCGCTACCTGGGTCTTTTCTATCGTTATTTTCCTGGGTGTCAATCTGTTTAGTTTCTGCCTCATTCTGGCCTGCTACGTCGCCATCTTTGTCAAAGTCAAAGTGACAGCTAGACGAGTGCGCAGCCGCAGCGCGCGAGATGAAAGCGAGGTTCGGATGGCCGTCAAGATGGCGGCCATTGTCTTGACGGATTTCCTGTGTTGGATCCCCGTCATTGTCATGGGAATTCTCTTCCAGGCTGGTGTTGTCGAGAACAATCCTGAGGTCTTCGTCTGGAGCGTTGTCTTCATCCTTCCAATCAACTCCTCCATCAATCCTTATCTCTACACATTCCTGGATGTTTGCCTCAAGAAACAACGCAAGAAACCATCGCAAAAGAAGGAAGAAATCCCATTGGAGGCCACGCCTTCATCGCAAAAAACGACCTCTATGTCTGATAGGTGAATACAAATGAAAAATATAATCTGGCTAAATTTAGGGCTCTTGATATTGTATTTGTGGTTTTCACCAGTAAAAGGCTTACTATAAAAACAGGGTTCTGGATTCCGTTAATAACAATCACAAGAACTGGATTAGAAACATCATGTTTTTATACTATTACTGTAAAAAAAAAAAACCGTTTAGCTACAAAATACAAACTATTTAAATGGATTTAAATGTTCAGATTTGTTGCATGTATAACAGAGAACTGTAATTATGCATCTTTCATATGCTTTGGTAGACTTTAGTGGAATTTAAAGTATTATGCAGATTAGCAAGCTCAGTATTATGATCAGGAATTTAAAAGTACAGAAACATGTACATGTATTAATTATGATACATTGACTTTTTGATGACAATATACATTAAGGAAGTGTTTTAATTATCGCATTGTAGAAAATTGTCTCTATTATTAGTATTATTTTGGTAGAGTTTAGTGTAATTTCTAGTTATCATGCGGATTAGCAAGCGCAGTATTTAATCAGGAACTTAAAAGTTGAGAAACATTTTAACTTAAGGTATCTTTTTGATGTTTTAAAAATATTTTATGATGTTTACATAGACGTTTTTAACAGCGTTTATCGCTCTCTAGCGAATAATGTCTTAAACTTAAGCACTAAATAATATCAGTCTTTTGACTGTTTTGACAAAAATCGCATTCATTGCCAGAGTGATGCGAAGACAGCTCCCATCGGTGACATTTCTTTCTAAATATCCGTCATCCAACGACTTTCATCAATAAACATTGCTGTATAAAATAAATCTGCGCAACAAAGACAAAGACATAACACGAGAGATACATGTACTAACACTGTAAAAACAACATTCCCTGTAAACTAACGGTAATTTACAAGTCAACCTTCAGTTTCGCCAAAGAATTGCAAAATATCTAGACACTTCTTGCCCTTTTGGGAAGAATCTGAAAAATATTACGGAATAATTTTCGTGCACCATTTTTCGAGCAGTTATGATGAAAAAAAAACACCTTCTTAGCATTCCGTATAGCCGCACTGTAAACATCTTGGTATTTACTACCCTCTAAAGGGAATGATTACTCAGAGTTTCATTGTTGTGTGTAAATGTTTGGATATACATAGTTAAGAATCATTAATGTTCTCGACCTGCTTTACGCTGTATCTGAAAACGTCTACACCTGCAGCAAGGAAGAATAAACAAAAGTTTAGCACTTGAAATCTTTTGACTTCTGTCTCAACTGATGTTTGACCTTTATTCTGCTCTGGCATTTACTGAGAAGGAAATATGTTTTTATCAATGATGGTTGTGTTGGCCTACCAAGGTTTATTTTTTTAAATCACGTTTTCTACAGTTCTTTGTGAACATTGAGGTTTTGTGTTCAGTATTTCCCCTTGTGGGCCTCTTATAGTACACAAACACTTCGAACTTTTCCAAACTATTGAAAGACGGAAAGACGGAAATTTCTTGTGCGCCTCTTATAGTACACAAACACTTCGAACTGTTCAAAACCATTGAAAGCAGGAAATATCCTGACTATTGAATCGTCAAAGTTCATAACACCCCATTGTTATCATTGGGAATATAGAGAGTCTCATGTAATGTCACAATAGAGGAAGATACAATAGAACGATGTTTGTTTTTCGTTTACAAACCTGCATGTTATACTATAGGTCTGCTGGATCATTGTGTGATAAAGACTTTTGTTAGAACGTTCATACTTTGCAGACTGTTCACTTGAATGCATCGTGTCACACGGAAGTTGACTGCACGATTTCAGCAAAGTTTCAGTGAGAATAAGTCGATTTTCTACGTAAGATTCCATCCTCGCCCCAGACATATCTGAACTATTTTCTGAAGGACATAAAATGAACCACTTTTGCTATATTTCAACAACTCCAGAAGAAACACATGAAAGATGCGAGGTGTTTTGAACCAGATCGAGAAAGTGGTTAATTTTGAATTTGAATCCAGTTTTTACCACCTTCCCCAGTCATCACCTACGTAGCTCGATACAACTTGAACCATGCTGACAAGATATCTCTCCCCGGAGATCATTTTGTTCTGCGTGTTGGCAAGTACAAGCCACGGTAAGTAATTTAATTCATAGTCGTGTACCAACATAACCAAGTACAAAACAATTGTATTTGTTTGTTAGTTTTCATTTGTGGTTTTGTTGGGGTGTTTGTTTGGTTGTTTTTCTTTGGTTGTAACTAGTGACTTATCCAATGTGTGTGTAGGGAGGTAGACAGGAGGCATTTCACCCCGGTGAGGTTTGTCCCTCTTTTTGGGGTGGGGATATTTTCGAGGGGGGGGGGGTTGTCTAGTATGGAACACTGCAGTTAATTTGAAAGAAATACTTTTGAACATTGTCAAATTCAATAGTGAAAATAACCGCCAGAGAAGTGGCAGTAACATGCCGTGTATATCTCAGACGGATGTAGCATTTTGACCTTTATTCAATAACACATATTAAGACGTTTAAGGCTTTTTGTTAATACCATCGTGCAGGTATAAGGAACTCTGAAAGTGGGTACTAGTTTTTGGATACCGTGTTTTCACTTTAAAAAGCACAACATTTTCTGGGCATATTGTAGCATATTACAATGTATATTCCGTCACTAATTAGGACCACTAAAAGGAGTACATGTACCAGCGTCATGTTCAGTTTGTATATTTATGGAGTCCATAGATTCTTGATAACGTAAAACATAAAAACAAAATGAGTGTTCATTTTGGACTTGGAATAAAACCATGGTATTTCCTGGTTTGAAGTTAGGTCGGTGTTGTAGACAATTTGGGCCCTCGCCATACTTTCGATACAAAAAGAGTGTAGATGAACACGGAAACATTCTATAATACTGACACCGACTTCATGTCAAACAGAAAACAAATATTGTACCCTTGTAGTTCATTACTAGCGTTTTTGGTTGTTGTGATCAGGGGAACTTAGGGCTGCAAAAGGGGCAATAAAATACTCCAAGTTTGTCCAAATAATAGCTGAAACAATGACAAGTGGAATAAAAATGCCGCTTATGGATTCGAGTTTGAAAAATCCAGGGTCGTCTTATATCACTCAAAAGACTTGTTCTTTCACTACTGGTAAGGAAAAAAAATTCAATGGTAAATAACCCCCCAAAAGGCAAATCTGTATCCTGCAGTTAGATTTCGTGTGACCGAAATTTCATTGAATGCATGACCGATATAAACTCTATAGGCAGTGAAATGTGAAGCAGAACATACAATAGACATTCCGATCCGATTGGGTCACATGGCGATCATGGATGTTGAACATGACATGTTCAATGTTGTGTTCATGAAATTGGAACTCATATTAGTCAAGGAATGGGTTTACGAATTTTAGCAAGATAAGATTCGAGATGTGATATAATGGTTGGACATTTCATAGACATATCTGCCATTTATTGTTTTAAAGACATCTGCCGTGTATGAGGACGATGTGTTCTTCAGGACAGGCAAGTATCACGATATAAGACTAATGGAAATATTTCGACAGCAGGCCGAAGTCAATGCCTTGAGTGTAGACTATTTCAATGCGAAAGTCTGCCTCGACATTGTCGTTGCGTGTATAGTCTCCGCTGAATTCGCCTCAAAGCTTCGTCATTCACAGTAAAGAGCCGGCTAGAGTCACGGTAGCCTAGCCAAAATGGAGTGTGATGGCCTAGCGGTTAAGAACACCGGACTCACGTTCTGGTGTTTCAGAGGCAACAGTGACGTGGGTTCGAGCCCGCCGGCGGACACTTGTGCTCTTAAGCAAGGCACTTAACCATTATTGCTTCGTCCTTCGGATGGGACGTTAAGCCGTAGGTCCCGTGTGTTGTATAAATGCACGTAAAAGAACCCAGTAAACACTTATCGCTAAGAGAAGACGTTTGCCCCGGTGTTTCTGGCCTCCTGTATAAACTCCCACGTGGAGTATTGAGGAGAAGAACCAACCAAGAACCAAGAAAAAGGTCAGAGTCAATCTGTCATCGGTGACTTTTTTTTTGTCATGATTATCCTCTAGCTCAAATTCCCGATGCTATTCATCTGATTACATTGACCGAGGAGGCCCCCGAGTGGTCGTTCCAGTCCCCAAATTTCACCCATCGCTTCTACCCAGACGACACTCTCAGCGTCTGGCTGATCCGAGTCGACAGGGGATCCAGGGTGACTTTCAACTTCGATGTGATGGAGGTGGCGGAAAATGACCTACTGCAAATTGGCAACGGGATCGATGCGACGGACGTGGCCTCCGTCACGGGTGAAACCATCATTGCCACTTTCGCCGGGAATTTGACAGGTGTAGACGGGGCTCGAGTCGCGTCTAACGAAAACGAGGCCTGGTTGAGATTTCAGAGTTTTCACGTCTCGTCCTGCCGAGGGTTTACCGTAACAGTGAGGCAGGAAAAAGCATCAGCACTGCTCAAGGAAAACGGTGGGTGTTGGCAGGGGGGGGGGGGGGCTGAAGCCAAGTCATCACTGCCCTCTTGTTTCGAAAGAGTGAAAATTCACTTTAATCTTAAAGGGCTATAGGAAGTGAACGTTTCTGATCTGAGGAACTAAATTCTGTGCAACTTTCTACTCCTCTTAAATGAAAGAAAACTATTTGACATCCCTTTTTGGTCTGTTTTATTAATAAGCAAACTTCTTTAAACATTTTAAATTTTCCATGCTTTTTCGGACAACTGAGGGCGCTGTTTCTGTGATGTCATTTCAGGAAGACACTAGCTGTTCCGTTTAGGTGTTTTCTGTTCAAACTGTGAACCCTAAAACGTGTTCATTGGAAACAAAGTTTGCTTATTGGTTTACTGCCATGAACTGACACATCACCAAAGAGGACGAAATCACCAGGGAGGAGAAAATTTACGACTGCACAGCAAAATATCCAAAATTCTGGCAACTTTTGTGCTGCAATAGCTGCAACATTAACGTTCCTGCCTGAAAGGACATCACACTTTTGCTCATGAATGATAGACATTCACATCAGCATAAAGATTAAAAAAAGACACAAAAATACCCTTGAAAATGGCAAATTGAAAATTAAAAAAGAGAGTATAAAATGGAACACAAAGGTGCATTTGCAAGGATTGCATTAACAAAATTATTTTTCTATCCAACTGAAACTACCGTCGTTATGATTTAGTGTGCGATTTATCCAAAACATCGAATTTGCACTTCGATTTTCGATTTAAGCATTTCTTTTTCTAAGTGTATCAAATTAGAGTGATTTCACTCAAAATTGTCTTGTCTCCAGTTTCAATCTGGAAATTATCCACAGGACAATATCGGGTCATTTCGTCTTAAGAACTTGGGCTTTTCGATTCAACTTTGACACGGGCATTCCGTTGTCAGTGTTACTTGTGATTGGTCTTGTGACTTGCTTCAGTTTATGATGGGCTTGTAATGGACTCGAAAGTAATGCCATATTTTTCCCCAAGAGTTTCGACAAAATTAATGTAAGTTTGAGATCGTTTAGAGTAATTCAGAAAATTCTGAATGAACACTTTCAGCAAAGAATTGCTGAATATATTGGGCTCTATAGGTAATTGTCACAAATGTTATTAAAAAAAAAGTTTTCATTTGTTAGGATTTTGCAGAAGAGATGATTTCAGGTGTGTCAATGACGTTGAGGGCGTAACTTGTCTGGGTAATGGTTCACGATGTGATGGAATCCCGCACTGTAAGGATTCATCGGACAGTGCAAATTGTAAGTAATAAAGTAATGCAGTAAATTCTACGCTATTTTACTTATTTACATGGGCGTAAATCCAAGGGGTATACACCCCCACACTTTTTGACCAGGGGGTTAGGCTACAGGGTTACCCCCTTCATTTTTTTTGTGGTGAGAAACAGGAAATAACGATTTGGAGCTTAAGTACAAACTTCGAGCAGTCCAAAATGTATTAAATAGTTCCGTAAAACTTAGAAGGAAGATACAATTATTCGTAAATTCCCTAATTTTGGGTGGCATGGGTGGCTAGTGCGTGAAGCGCTCGCCTCTCAGCTCACCACTGTGGTTCGTTCCCGGCTCGGACCATGTGTGAGTAGAGTTGTGCGTTGGTTCTCTCCTGTACCACAACGGTTTTTCTCCAGGTTCTTCGGTTTTCCTCCCTCCGCAAAAATCAAACACTTTCGATCTCTGGCTGTGCTCCATGGTCATCTATGGGTCATATGGCTGGCTACCAAAGGCGCCTTTACATGCCTGCAGCCCGACCACGTTGTAGCCGCGTCCTTTGCAATTCAGCTTCTCAGCATGCGAGTAAGGATGATGGCCTCCCAAATTATTATTAATATTTTTTTTTCTAAAAAAAGAACCGCACAAAATAATGAATTTATCTGCCGTCTTTCAAAAATATCTTTAGATGATTGCCGATTGCCCCGTACCCCTGACTTTAGGGATCAAAACCCATCAAATAAGAACTATATTTTATTGTTTATGAATGATGTTTGAAACTTAGCCACAGTTCCCTTGTATGTATGATATTTTTATCACCAATTTCCAACTCTTTTACATAAATCGTTGCAGGTTCTTCGCTATACGACAGGTTTGATGAGTCTGCGTGCAAGATGTGTCCTGGCAATCAACAATATGATTATGGTAATTTGTTTTGGTAAACATCGCAGACTTTTAAATTGTCACCGGTTTGGTTTCCTGACAGTGAATTATTAAATATGTTGCTTAGCAATAAGATGCGCCGTACCGAACCAAGCTGAGGACCATTCTCAACCGATAGTGCATGAGATTTTGGCTTTAAGCAATTCGTTGTGCTCATACAGCATCTCCATATGAAACTGGGCCTGTGGACAACATGGAATTGGGCGAATATTACTCCATCACCATCTTCGAAAATCGTTCCGAGTACAGTTGAATGTTAACATAAAAACTAACAGTTCTTTGTTTAATACATCACCAAAAGACAACAGAAATTGTTACAGTTTATTAAGTATGAATTAACACTAATCTTTTCTCTTGAATTTGTTTGTCCACCAGGAAATCATTCATGTCCTGTTCCTCCTAGCAGAAAGCGTTGTACCAATCCTAACCTATTTTGTGGCTGTGGCGTCAAGGGTGACGACCTGGGAGTAATATGCATATGGTACCTGCCTACTTATGTACTGTCGACACTGGACGATACCACACACACCCTGTACGTCGCAATATAAAACATTATAAACTCCTCATAATAAAATCACCGTGAATGTTTTATCAATCAAATTGTAACTCTGCATTTATCCTTAATCTGTGCACAAGCTCTAAGCTGGGTGATGGGAGACGGAAGGGACATCCCAATACATATTACCCCTCCCTTAATGACATAAACACATTCGAAATACTCATAAACAAATAACATTCATAAATGTTTGTGTATAGGTATATTTCCGGGGTAAACGTCAGCTCTCTTCAAAATGGGACCTTCAAGTGGGATAATCTCAAGCAGTTGAAAGTGTTGTAAGTATTTTTTTTTACCATTGAATTTGGTACGACAAATTTCTGCCGAAAATTGTAGCCTAACGGATTCCCGTATATACTAACGACTTGTGATGGACGAAACCTGCATTTCTGAACGAAAAATCGCTGTACTTTAGCGCACCCAATCACCCTTCTCAATGTATTTGTTAAGATGTACTACGCGCAAAATATTTTGTTGGCATTATATTTTGAAGTTTAATTTGGAAAATTCATTCCTTGAAAAATGCTTTCTATATTTAATATTTCGTTTTAAAATATGCTAGGTGCCATATCCAACTGAGGAGCACAAAAATTAATGACTGATAAAGCGATAGAATTAATCAATCTAATGTTCCTGTTGTTTGTTAGGGCTATTCAGGCGACAAGTGACGAAGAATCAGATTTAAAGAATTACGCATTTGAAGGTCTCGACAGTTTGTCAACGCTGTAAGTATTGACTAAACTTTCACAAACTTAGTCTTTCCATAGGGAATCATAATCTGAATTTCACATGATTACTTCCTGACACTGTTGTCTTTATTGTTTGTTTTTTGGGGTTGTTTTTGTTGTCGTTGTTCTGCTTATTTTATATATAGCACACAGATGAATATATATTTATTCAATTTCAGAGGGTATATGTGCATAATGTTTTCGTCTCCTTTCTTTTTCAGTGTTATTTTTGATATAAACTTGAGAAAAATCGAAGCCAAAGCGTTTGCCGGACTCGACAAATTAGAAACACTGTAAGTATTTACAAATCACATTCCCGTGTTTTTTTTGAGAAAGTGTTATCTTGGTGTTTTTTTTTTAAATGCGTGTTTCAATTCATGGTATTAACAAAGGGGTGTAACATTGTCTCTTCCAAATGTTCTTATCATTTCCAGATCAATTTTGGAAAAGGACTCTAGTCCAAGGCTGCCGATAATAGAAGACGGTGCTTTTGACGTCGTCGGTGACAAATTGTCTTTTCTGTGAGTGTGCTAATTCTCGACTGTTTATTCAGTACAAGTCTAGAAATAAATCCAAAATTATGTTTATTTATTTGTATGCATGAGCAGAAAAAAAGGAAAATTCCATTTGAATGCTTTATTCTTCCCTGCCCCTTACTGTTCAAGTTTAATCTCAATTGTTTGAAAAGTGTTCAGTATTATTTTCTGATAAGATCTCAGTTGGAATAAAAGTTTCTATCTAACAAAACAATTCCAGACAATTTTAGCTTCCTGATTGACTAATAGTTATGCGTCGGAGTGACTTAAACTGAGTTTGATTATTCTCTTCGATGTGTAATGACATAAACACTGCATGCCTTCAAGTACTTGCGAGTCAGAAAATAAAACTCAGAAGGTAAGGTACTCCGGCGAGATTCGAACCCACGACCTCCTGCTAACTGTAGTGAAAAGTCTGCTCAGAAGTTCTCACTGTTCTGTTGTATTTTGTATCTATGTTTAGGTATGTGACTGATTATCGTCTGTGTTGTTTCTTCCCGCCGGAACTACAAGAGAGGTGCAGGGAATGGTTTGAGATTCCCGAACTCTTTGTCTGTAGTCAGCTGGTACCCAACTACGTCTTGAAGGCCTTCATGTGGATCTTGGGCATCAGCGCAGTCGTTGGCAATCTCTTTGTCATGGTTTGGAGGTATCGAGAGAAGACAGGGAACCGTGCTGGTCTGATAATTAATTCCTTCTTGGTTGTCAATCTGGCTGGTGCTGATGCTCTGATGGGCTTGTACATGTTGATCGTAGCTGGGGCTGATGCGCACTACGGGGCCCGTTATTTCGAGGTGTCTGGCGAGTGGCGAACCAGCGCCGCGTGTAAAGCAGCAGGATTCATCTCCATCATGGCCAACGAAGCGTCTGTGTTTCTCTTAGTTCTCATCAGCGTCGCGAGATTCATGTTTGTTGTCTTCCCGTTTTTCACCAATCGTCGCCTGACTTTCAAGGTAGCTAAGATTGTTGTGGGCTTCGTTTGGCTCCTTACGATCATTCTTGCCGTGGTCTCCACAGTTCTGGCTTCGGATGAAGCGTCTGAGGCCTACGGTCTCTCAGATGTTTGCATTGGTCTGCCACTGACGACCAGAATTACTGGTTTTGAGATCAAGGAAGACGTCGTTAATGTTGGAGGAATCGGTGAAGTGACCTACGCAAGACCTGTACCGACCAGCCAGTCCGCTACTTGGGTCTTTGCTATTGTTATTTTCCTGGGTGTCAATCTGTTCGGTTTCTGCCTCATTCTGGCCTGCTACGTCGCCATCTTTGTCAAAGTCAAAGTGGCAGCCAGACGAGTGCGCAGCCGCAGCGCGCGAGATGAAAGCGAGGTTCGGATGGCCGTCAAGATGGCGGCCATTGTCTTGACGGATTTTCTGTGCTGGATCCCCGTCATTATCATGGGAATTCTCTTCCAGGCTGGTGTTGTCGAGAACAATCCTGAGGTCTTCGTCTGGAGCGTTGTCTTCATCCTTCCCATCAACTCCTCCATCAATCCTTATCTCTACACATTCCTGGATGTTTGCCTTAAGAAACAACGCAAGAAAAAATCGCAAAAGAAGGAAGAAATCCCAGTAGAGCCCACGCCTTCATCACAAAAAACGACCTCTACGATCGATGAATGAATACTGAATGTTTGAAAATATTCGTCTCTGAGGGCTCTCATTTATACAATTTTGGTTTCATCACTAAAACGTTAAAATATAGAATATTGAATAGAGGGTAATGGATTTTGTTTTGAAATTTTGATTCAATAATAAGACGCCCATAAACTATTGTTAATTCTTGAATCACATGGAATAAGAACTGGTTTAGGAATATCATCGGTTTTTTACTTGATTATTGAAAAAAGGTTTAGCTACAAGATCAGTGAGCATTGTCGTCCCCAGAGAGACAAGTCAAATGGAAGTGTTCAGATTTGTTACATGTATTGTTCTTCCTTTTTAAGGCTCATTTAAGAGAGAACTATAATGATGCGTCATTATTGTCTTTCCTTAAGGCACATATTAGAGCAGTGTTGTGGGCGAGTCCATCACAAGTCCCTCACAAGTCCCTCACAAGTCCCTCACAAGTCCATCACAAGTCCATCACAAGTCCATCACAAGTCCCTCACAAGTCCATCACAAGTCCATCACAAGTCCATCCCAAGTCCATCCCAAGTCCCTCACAAGTCCCTCACAAGTCCCTCACAAGTCCAACACATGTCCATCACAAGTCCAACACATGTCCATTACTAGTCCATCACATGTCCATCACAAGTCCATCACAAGTCCATCATAAGTCCATCACAAGTCCATCATAAGTCCATCACAAGTCCGACACAAGTCCGTCACAAGTCCGTCACAAATCCGTCACAAGTCCGACACAAGTCCGACACAAGTACATCACCATTCAATCCCAAGTCCATCCCAAGTCCATCCCAAGTCCGTCGCAAGTCCATCACAAGTCCATCACAAGTCCATTACAAGTCCGTCACAAGTCCGTCACAGGTCCATCACAAGTCCATCACAAGTCCATCACAAGTCCATCGCAAGTCCATCGCAAGTCCGTCGCAAGTCCATCGCAAGTCCATCACAAGTCCATCACAAGTCCATCACAAGTCCATCACAAGTCCATCACAAGTCCATCACAAGTCCATCACAAGTCCATCACAAGTCCCTCACAAGTCCTCTAGTCAAGTCAAGTCCTCAAGTCAAGTCACTAGCTAATTTAACTGTTACAAAAGCATTCGTTTGTCATTGTTATCCAATTAATTGGGACTGGACTTGTGATGGACTGGACTACAACACTGTTTAAGATCGAACAATAATCATGCAACAATTATATTTAACTTCTTTTTAGTAAGCAGAGTTTAGTAGAATTTAAAGCAGGCTTGGTGTTTTAATTGGGAATTTAAAAGCACAGAAACATGTATTAATTTGATATGGTAATTGTTTTAGACCTGTTTACCTATAGAAGCGTTTTAATTCTCGCAACTTCGATATTGTTGTATATTTTGTTGGTAGAGTTTAGCGGGATTTAAAGTTATAGATTAGTAAGCTCAGTGTTTTAATCAGGAAGTTAAATGTTCAGAAACATTTTAACTTGATGTAGCTTTTTGATATTTTTTGATGTAATTTACTATTGTATGATGTTTACATAGAAGGTGTTTAACAGCGTTTATCGCATTGTAGAGAATTATGTTTATCAGTCTTTTGACTGTTTTGACAAACATCGCATTTATTGCCAGAATTACTCGTGTATGCGAAAGCATTTCCCGTCGGTGACATTTCTATTGTAATATCCGTCACCCAACGACTTTCATCAATAAACATTGCTGTATAAAATAAATTTGTGTAAAAAGACAAAGACAATTAACATGAGAGATGCATAAACTAACACTGTTAAAAACCATTTCCGGTAAAAATTTACGGTAACTTACGTGTCAGCCTGCATAGTCGCCAAAGAATCGCAAAATGTACAGACGCGTTTTACCTTCAAAAATTATGACAAGAATCCTTAAAATATTACTGGACAACTTTTGGGCACCATTTTTCTAGCATTAATGATTAAAAAGGAAACCTCGTAGCATTCGATAGCTGTCACACCAGGCGCGGATCCGGGAGGGGGGTGTTTGGGGGTCAAACTCCGCCCCCCCCCCCCTCAGCTCTGTCAAAAATTTGGTGTTTTTTCCATAGAAATTCTTAAACAAATAATGGTACCCACGCCCCCCGCTCTGACACCCAAAAATAATTATACTGGTATTAATATACGCCTGTGCCCAAAATACGGACAGAGCCTGCTGGGTTACGGGGGTATGTGTACACTAGCCTGTGATGTTAGTAATCGTCGGATTTGAACAGCGCCCCCATTGAAAGTATGGTACGAGCTGCAGCGCCACCCCCCCCCCCCAACACCTATTGATTTTGCGGAGCCAAGTGTCCGGATAAAAAAAAAACCTGTCAACATGTTAGCATTGATTTGCTGATGAACCCACCCACCCCCGGCAAAAAAATCCTGGATCTGCCCCGGTGCACTGTAAATATCTAACTTTCTCGAAAAAGTAATGATTTTTCAAGAGTGTCATTGGTGTGTGTAACTTGTTTGGATATTCGTAGTTAAGAATCGTGAATGTTCTCATTTTCACCTGCTGTACGCTATATCCGAAAACGTCTACACCTGTAGCAAGGAAGAATAAACAAAAGTTAAGCAGTTGAAATCTTATGACTTCTGTCTCAACTGGTGTTCAGTGGTCCCGTTACATTTACCTTTGTTTTAATTTCTAAATTCTAACAAAGGATGGCGTTTTTGTACAAAACATGTAGCCCAGTTTGCCTTATATTTATTAGATGGTAATTTGCTTTGGCCTATTTTTATGGTGTGGTAAACCTGCCTCGTCGATATCCACAATCGATTTGTGTTTGTGTTTAAAATGTAATTTTGAACAAAATTAATCATATTTTACCAGCTAGCTGTGCATATGGCTGAAATTGTATAATTGGAATCTTGGGAAGCGCCATCTTGGAATTACTTAAAAAATACCCAATTATACATTTGCAAGATGGGTTAATTTTGCCAGCGTACGTTTTGTGCTATTGTTGCAAAATGCAGTGCACAGAGGTACTGATCAATGAACCATGCTCCTTGTTATTTTAATTTTCAGCATCGTGCAAAAAAAGGGAAGTAGTTTCCTGTATTTTTAGTAAAGGCGGGAAATAACAAGTTGATGTACCGTTCGGGTTGTTTGCCTTGGTGAGGTGACAGTGTATTTTTTACTGCCTGTGTAGTTTTGTTTTTCAGATTTAACAGACAAATTAAAATGATATAGATCTTTAAAAAAAAAGGGGGGGGGGGGACTTTGTTCAAACTGCGCTGAACTGGCAATTTCATTCGTTTTTTTTGTACAAACATTCGTCGTTTCTAATATTCAACTGCCTCTTCGGCAGTGGACGTGAGAGAATAACCAGTACAAAAAATTGCCGAAAGCTGACGAACTCTGGACTTTAAAAAAAGGGTTGGGCTTTGATCACTGTTCATTGCAAAAGTTATCAGATATGCACTACAGTTTACGTGTTACCTGTTACCCATCCCGTAGTCTTCTGATCGTGGGGGCACCCCTTGAAGACCTGTCAACCAGCTTCCTCCATCCCTCTCGATCCTCAGACTTTCTCAGGGAGTCACTCAGCGTCAGGCCTGTCCACTCCGAGATGTTGTCCTCCCACCTCTTTCTCTGCCTGCCTCTTTTTCTTCCTCCTTGTACAGTGCCTTGCAGGATCGTCTCAGCAAGTCCTGGTGATCGTGTAATATGCCCATACCACTTCAGTTTGCGCTTTTTCACAGTGGTCAGGAGATATTCGTAGGATCCAACGACTTGCCTGATTCTGGTCCGTACCTGCTCCTCGTGTATTACTTTCCGTCAGATGCAATCTTGTCCCGTTTCTCTGATTACACTTAAGTTTAATATTCACTATTATAAAAAAAGCGAATACAGAAACAATGCGTACGAAATCACTGGACAGTGCTCTTCGGGCACCGTTTTCCCAGCGCTAGTGGGAAAAAAGTACTACTAATCCATTCGTCAGCTGCTTCACTGTAAGACAAGTTGGTATAACAGTGTATCTCAAGTGCGGATCCAGAATACAATTTTTGGTGGTTTTTTTTTGGGGGGGGGGGGGGGGCGGGCCAAAGAAATTTGGTCGCCCAAAAGTGGGCCCAAAGAGTTATTTGGGATTCTAGATGCATGTGGTGCGATCTGTGGCAATTGCTGACCACTTTAACCAAAGCTTTTTGAGGAAAAGATGGTGGTGTACGCAGTGCCTGCCTTTATTGCGACGTCACTTAACAAAAATTGGTTCTTTTTTTTTTGGGGGGGGGGATCATTAATGTTGTTGACTTAACCTGCTTTAGGCTATATTGGAAAACATGCAGACATGAAAACTAAAAAAAATTCAAAACACAAAGAGGAAAAAGGAACGAAAACTTTAAAAGGGGGACGAAAACTAAAAAAAAAGGAACGAAAAGTAGAAAAAAAAGGTACGAAAACATAAAACAAATACAAGGAACCAAAGCTTGAAAAAAACAAAGGAGCTAAAACTTTAAAAACAAAGGAACAAAAACATAAACAAGGAAAGAAAACTTACAAAACCAACAGAGCTAAATTTATAACGGAGTGGCGTGACACCTGTTCAACGGTGAAAAATAACAGGAAAAACGTATGTACTGACCATTGGGTATAAATACTAGCTCTGAATTCGACTTCGCATCAGTTCGTCTTCCGCATTGCATCCCTCCCTTACTCCTGTAACTTGATACAACTTGAACCACGCTGACATCATTTTTGCTAGCAGATCATTTTGTTCTCCATATTGGCAAGTTCAAGCTACGGTAAGTAGTTAATTAATGTATAACAATACAACACAATTCAAACATTGTTGCTTTGTTCATTTGTTTGTCCGGTTTTTCTGGGCGTACTTTTTTTTTTTTTCATGAAACAGTCAGTGGCTTAATCAATAGCCAATGGCTGCAAGTTGTAGGGAGGGGGGCTGCCCTGGTGATGTTTGTCCCTATTTGTGGTTGGAGTGTTTTGTTGAGGTTGCAGTGGTACTAATTTTGTCTGGAAAATGGAACATGTAACACTGCGCTGCTGATCTTCTAGAAGAAATTCTTAAGAATAATGTGAAAAGCGTGCAATGCAGTATTGCGCTCGATA